ACACACACACACACACACACACACACACACACAGATACACACACACACACTCACTGACACTCACACACACACATACACACAGAAACCTGTGGGTAAATGTGTGTATGTATGTGTGTATAACGTGTGTGTGTGTCTGTGTGCGTATGTGTGTGCGTGTGTGTGTGTACGTGTGTGTGAGCGTGTTTGAGTGTGTGTTTGTATGTGTGTGTATGTGTGTGTGTATGTGTGTGTGTATGTGTGTGTGTGTCTGTGCATGTGTGATTGTGTGTGTGATTTACAAACGTGTATTAACACGTCAACATCATTAAACTTACCCAAAGACACTTATATATCCAACTTCTTACTCAAACAAACAGTGGGGAACACATCAAATACTTTTGAATCTCTGACTCACACGATCACTTCAAACTCTCTCACTCTCACTCAATCCATTTCTTGCTCACCCTTAGGTTGACGCTGCTCTGGTGTGGTTTGCTTCTTCTTTCCTATTAAACATCTATCGCCCTTATCTCCCCTTCTTCTTTTATAATATTGTGTATGTTACTCTCTTGTAACACCTCTAATCTTCTGGCACTCATATGACTTTATGCAGTTGCGAGCGCCGTAAAACCTCTACTAAAACAAAAACTCTCTTACTCAATCCATTCCTTGCTCACCCTTTCACTCACTTACTCACTCATTATTCACACCATTAGTTCAACTGTTGTGATGCTGGGCCACAGACCGGATGGCCCTGGTTCGAATCCCGGACAAGGCGTTCTTGAACGTGGGTCATTTAGTGGCTTTTTAAAGGCTCTCAACCTATCTAACTCTGGCCTATCGGAGACGGAAGTTACATCTTGAAGTCCCAACTCTTAATAAAGAACCTTACAGTGTTGATAATAGGGGGTCAAACCCAAACGTTTACTTATTTTCTCACTCACTCACTCACTCACTCACTCACTCACTCACTCACTCACTCACTCACTCACTCACTCACCGGGGTCTTGCGATAAGGAGGTACGGTGTTCGCCTCTTAGTTGAAATGTTCCTGGTTCGAAACCTTACATCGACAGGAAGTTTTTTCTCTCTAAAATGTTCTCCTTTTTTCTCCTTTCCTGTTCTCCAGTCATATTCTGTTACCTACCTTTCTCTTCACCCTGTTCCCCCCTCCCCCACATACACACCCCAAGACCCCTCTCCGCTCTTCTCTTCCTTACTTTTGACTCCTTTTTACTGCTCACTCACTCACTCACTCACTCACTCACTCACTCACTCACTCACTCACTCACTC